TGACAACCTTATGCCCTCCGATTTACAATCCTGCCTTAAAGCGAATCAGTGAGAAAAAAAGAACTCATCCCCAGCAATACGATGGCATGCAGTGGATGTGGTCTGCACTTGTCCCCAGAAGGCTGGGCCTCTAACTGGCTTTATGGGTCACGTCCAGAGAATCCCAGAGTGGGTACATAAGGAGGTGCAAATGGTCACAGTTCTTCTTTGAAACTGTTCCCTTTGCGTCCTGGGGACAGTCTTCAATGACCCAGGAGAAGCCCAAGTTGTGATGGCGCTGTGCTCGCATTCACATCTGAGCAGAGAAGGCCTTTGAGAGCATCCGCTGTTTTTGTTCCAGAATAGTTGGCTTTCAGAATAATTTAAAATATATTTTTAAAATGAGACGTTAAAAATGGAACATCTAAAGGACCCCTGAAACATCTCTACCAAATGTGGGGGCTCCAATATGTTGTTTTCCCACGTGAGGAGGAGATGCAAAGTCAGGGAGAGGGGTTCTTGGGCCAAGTCCTCCCAGCGGGTGGTTGTCTGGCTCACAGCCTGGACTGAGCTCCACACTCCTCAGCTCCATCAGAGCATCACTGATATTCCTGGCCCAGATCCCCAGCAGCCAGCCCTCCTCCCATCCCCATCCAGCTCCCCCCTGCTCCCCACCCCCAACCCACCATCCCCCAACCCACCACGCAGAGTGAGCTGATCAACAAGGTAGGAATGTGAGTCCTACAGCTGTCCTGGGATGCCCAGTGGCAGCCCAGCAACACAGTTGTTGGCCAGGCATGTGGAGCAGGAGTCCCCCTAGTCTCCCAGCCCCCACATGCCAGTGTGTTGGTGGGGGAGGGGCTCAGGAATCAAAGCCAACTCCAGGCTCAATTAATTGCCTTCATTTGCACGTGCAGCCTTTGGATGGGGACAGTTCACAAGTCAACTATCCCCAGCGTGCAGGGACAGCTTCAGGACATGTCAGCTCTTTCCCCTCCGTCCCCAGCCGCCAGTGCCCGGTCCCCTTCTTGGGCCCTGACCGCACTCACAGCAATAACCAACTATGAGGGGGAGGCAGGGGACCCCTGATGAAGCTTAGTGCATGGGCAGTGGCGTGAAGGACCGTCCTGAGTGCATCCCGAGTGGCATCGTCTTGGATGTGTGACTGAGCAACCCTGCCCCGGAGTCTCCGCTTCCTCATTGTAAAAAACGTGGAACATGGTGTGCTATGTAGGGCAGAGGAGAGGACGCCATAAGAAGCGGGTGAGATCAGCATGTAGAGCCGAGTTTCCCCAGGAAGTGGAGACTCCGAAGATTACATTTGCTTTTGTTTTGTTTTGCTTTTAATGAGTCACTTAGATCTCAGTTATGAGAGGACCGAGGGCCACCTCTGGGCTGTGGACGGTCTTGATGCCCCTTGACAACTCTCATCCAGGCTGCGGGGGAGGCGGTGAGACCCAGACCCAGAAGAGACTTTGTGAGCGAGCGAGCCACGGGCAGAAGCGTCCAGGTCTGATGGGGCTGGGCGAGGCGGGCACCTGCTGCCCCTTTCTGCCTGGATGCCTGGCGCTTTGTGACGCTGCCTCCAGCCGGCTTCCAGAGTGACAGAAATCGATTGGAGCCCTTCATCGCTATGGATCCCGGGCACGACTTCTGTAGCATCCCACGTGTGCTGAGTGGCGCTTTGCCAGGCTGGCATCTTGGCTGCGGGGTCGGGCCAAGATCCTCGTACAAACCCTGCGGGCTTGGAGAGAGGGCTCCGTGTAGTTCCGGGGCAAAGTGGTGCCTGGGTCCCAGCCCTCACTCCAGCAATCTTTCCCAGACCCACACACACAGACACACGCGTGCACACGCGTGCACTCGTGCGCACACACGCACACACACCACCACCACCACGCCCTGAGAATTTATGATTTCCCACTCAGCTCTCAGTTTGTGCTCAGTCTGCTTCCATCCCGACCCATAGTTAGTGCCTGTTATTTGCAGCGTCCTATAGATGTGATAGGAACAGAGAGAAGGGGATGGAGTCCCCTAGGATCTGCTGGACCCCATCAGAGTCTTTAAAAAAAAAAAATGGCTGATTGCCCCAGCAGGAGAAGGCACGGGCGGTCTTCAAGAGCTGGGCAAATCTGTGTGGGAGCACAGGCGGGAGCACTTATAACTGGGGGACTGATGAGACTTCCTGGGGGAGAGGACATTTGGGGTGGACTCCAGAGGATGGGCAGGATTTGGACAGAGAGAGATGGGCATGGAGAAAGAGGTTGTTTCAGGCAGAGGGAACAGCCCAAGTGAGAGCAGAGACAGGAAAGAAGGGTGTGTTCGCGGCTCAGGAAACAGTCTCTATTGGCTGTGAAGGGGAGGAAAAAGTCAAGGCTGCGAAATCAGGTCGGGGCTACATTATACAAGGTCTCGAGTGCCAAGGTCAGGAGGCCATGGTTGAATGGGAAGGCAAAGGGGAGCCAAGGACAGTTTTAAGCAGGCGAGGGTCAGGGTCAGAGGAATCTGTCAGCAGTATGGGCTGGTCTGGGACAGGACGGTGCTGAGAGAGGGAGAGAGGGACGGACGGTTCCCCGTGGGTCCATCCGCACTGCACCCTGAAATCCCCTTCTGCTGGCCCCAGGCAGGCTTGTGCATGATTTGTGGGGTGCAAAGGGAGGGAACAAATATGGTCCTGAAATTCGTTGGGGTACGTTAAACAGACCCACAGCCATTGGAAGTCTTGGCAACAGGGTGTCAGTGAGAGAGAGAGAGAGAGAGAGAGATGGCCAAGTGTGGGCTCGTGTTGCCTGAGGGTGTGGGATGAGCCTCCTCTCCGGGTTTCTGCAGAGTAGGGGGCGTCCTCAGCGCTCAGACCGCTCGACCTCGGCTCTCGGAGTCACTGGCTAGCTTCCTGCCAAGCACGCTGCCCATATAGGCCCGCAGTCCTGCCCACCCCTCCTCCTGAGCCAGCCTCCCCTTCCTGACCTGCCTCGCTGACTCCCACCTCGGGAGGGGGATTCCAAAGCTTCCCTCCCATGAGGCCGCTCTGTGGGCTTCTCCCGGGCTATTGTCCCTGCGAGGCAGAAGGGCTGGGCCGGGCGGGGGACCGCATCCCACACAGCCTCCAAGCCTTTCTCAGCCACAGGGAGAACGAAGTCTGGCCAGCACCAGTCTGGAGAGTGGCCCGCATCTGCCTCAGGCCTGGAAACCCTGTTTGAGGGGCTTCCGGGAGCGGAACAATACTTGACTGACAGGCCTTTAGAATGGGCCCCTCCTCTCTCCCAGCTGCCTCAGGAGCTCGGAGCAGCAGGCCTGGCCTGGCCGCCTGAGCTGGGCCTCCAGGGCCCTCGTTAGGGAGAGGCTGGAGGTGAGGCTGAGGGGGCAGAACCAGCTCGTGGCCCGTGAGGCGGCCAAGACAGCGGGGCCGGGACTGCCTGGTGTCCGGTCCTCGGAGCAGAAGGCTGTGTGATGAGATGGGAGCTGTCACGCCAAGCCACCCCACGGTGCCACCCAGCTCTCCCAGAACGTGCAGGCAGCTCCCAAGGTGTGAGGGAATATGACAGACTCTCTCAGCCCCTGGTTCTAGAAAGAGCAGAGCTGAGGGCAGTGGTGGGGACAAGGCCTGGGCCTCGCAGGGGACCAGCACACTCCAGGCTGGGAGGAAGGGGCAACAGGCAAGGTGGGAGGAGCTATTCCCCACGCCACCCTCTGGTCCCCCTTCTCCTCAGAGTGGGTCAGCCTGGCGGGGCCCCAGCCTCCCTGTCCCACCCACCCTCCCCGCCCATTCCCAGGGCCTCACTGGGCATTGGCTAAAGGTGAACCTGGTATGGGTGCAGGTGAGGGAGAGGACTGGAGGGAGAGATGCTAGGAGTTATCACGGGCCCACCAACCTTTCCTCCGCCCTGCATGATCCCATGGCCACAAACCACAAGGAAATGTTTGTGTAAGCCCCTTTTCCAGCTTAATGGGACACATAGGAGGCCCGGGGAGGCCATAAAAATGCAATCAGCCGGCTAACCTGGCGCTGAGCTTGTCTGGACGCCGTGAGACTGGTACAGGGTGGGGGTCGTGGGGGAGGGCCGCAGGGGGTGGGCTCCGGACTTCAGTAGCCTTCCCACCCACCCCCAGCCACAGGACTCATGAGCCTTATCTCTGAGGTCCTCCGGGACATCGAGGGTCGCTCCCTCCTCCCATAGGAGGATACCCCACTTCTGATGGAGAATGGGGGGGTGACCCTGAGGTTAGGTCAGGGTCAGCTCACCCCCCACCCCACCTGCAGGAGGCAGAGCCAGGCTTCCAAAGTTCTGCAGCCCCAGCAGGGACAAGGCTGGGTCAGAACCTGCCAGGCCCTTAGAGGGAAAGAAAGAAGTGAGGACAGGACTGGGCTGTCTCTGGGCAGCTGCAAGGCAGGTCCAGAGCACAGACACAGCAATGCCAGTTCATTTCTGCTGCAGGAAACACTAGGAACCACCTTGGATGCTTGTCGGAAAGACAAAGTGACATAAATTCCCATGAAGCACTGAAAAAGCTGATTCCTGCCTGGGGCCCATACTCAGGGGGCTGTTCTGTTTGTTTGAATTTACGCTTTGAGTCAACCTCCGGGATGACAGTCCTGTTTCTGAGCTTGGAAGGACCCAGCTCGTTCTGGGGTACTTGGCAAAGGGCAGAGGTGTGTGCAGAGAAAGGGATTCTAGACTCATCTGGAACCTGGGTGCTGCTTACACTATTTAAACCAGGGCTTTCCAGCCTTAGCAGTGTGGTCTCTCCAGTCCAGCAAGTCGCCATGCTGGGGCCATCCTGTGCACTTGGGGGCGCCCAGCAGCATCCCTGGACCCAGGCCCTGGAATCAGAAGCACCGCCCCGCTGTGGCAACCAAAAATGTCTCCAGGCATTGCTAGATGTCCCCTGGGGGCAAAGCCGCCCTCCGTCCCTGTCGATAGACACTGGGCTCTAATAATGTGGGCAAGGGGACTTGGAAGTAGGGAAGCAGAAGAGGAGGAGGGCTCCTGGCCTGTCCACTCACGGTGCTACTTTTTTTCCAGACCAGAGCTCATGGCTGGGCCCAGCACCCACAGGGTTCCTATGCTGTTCCTCGCCCTTCTGGTGCTCCTGGAGCTGAGCCTGGCAGGCTCCCTGGGACCTGGAACCTCTGCTCGGAACCTCCCTGAGAATCACATCGACCTCCAGGAGCCAGCACTGTGGATGCCTCCAGCCAGCCACCACCGCCGGCGGGGCCTGGGCAAGAAGGATCGGGGCCCAGGCATGCCTGGCCAGGCCCAGGACGGAACTGTGGTCTCCACCACCAGGCAGGCCTCCAGGCTGCCAGAGGCAGAGGAGCTGCTGCCTGGGCAGAGTCCTGCAGGCCTGGTGCAGGACAAGGAGCTGTTCCTGGGGTTGGTGCTGCCCTACCCTGAGAAGGAGAACCAGTCTCCTGGGTCGGAGAGGGTCAAGAAACGCAGCAGGGAGCACAAGAGACGCAGGGAGAGGTTGAAACTGCACAGAGGTAGCCGGAGGTCTGCAAGGGGGTGGGGTCCTGCCCCGGAAGGGAGGGGTAGGGGGATGGGGAAAGGTCATACCCAAATGACCAAGGGGGCTCTCTGAGCAGGAGGGGGAGGCCATGAGGGAAGTGTGAGAACCCTGGGAAGATATTCAGAGCCCCCAAAGAGGGCAGGCAGTGAACCCCCAGAAGTGGGGAGGGTCTCTCAAAAGTCAGAATGATCTGGGAAGAGGAAGGAGCTGGGAGAAGCCTGGTGGTAGAGCGTGGGAGGAGAGGGATACACAGATGTCGAAGCTCCATCTTCACAATGAACAATCCTCCTAAATCAGGAAGTTCTACCTTGGGTCTGACCTGAATCCAGCCCACGATGAGCCCTGAATGGAGATGCACTCCTTCGGTGCCCTCCAAGCACATCCCTTAACCAACTCTGAAGCCCAGAGCGGGGGCCAAGCGTTTAGACCCTGATGCTGGGTCTGCCCAAGTTCAGATTGTGACTCTACCACTTCTTGGCTGTGTGCCCTGTGCAAGTCACCTTTCTGTGCCTCAGTTTCTCCCTCTGCAAAATGAGGATAATGGCCCCATCCACCTCCGGGGCTGATTCATAGATGATTTAGATGCTTAGAATGGTGCCTGGCAGGCATCAGGGGCAATGAGCATAGCTAATTCTCAACTTGCTCTTGACGTGGAAATCGTCGGCCCCTGACCCGGATGCAGATGACCCAGGGAGATACGTGGTGTCCTTATCCCTCCTGCCTCTGCCCTGCGTGTCTCTTGAGGTGCTCCCCAGCAGCCCTGCTCACCTTCTTTTAGGTCTCCCCACAACCCCAAATCCCTGTGAGGGCCCCGCTGTCCCTGGCCCCAGCTGCCCCCTCCCTTTGCCCACTCAAGTCATTGAACAAACACACCCCAGCCACTCTGTCCACATGGCTCCTCCTGTCTCCCCCTGCCCCAAGGCCACCAGGCAACCTCGGCTTCAGGTGACCAGACAGCCTCCAGGGGCAGACCAAGTTTCACAAACATGGGACAGGTATTCTGTAGGAGGAGAGTGATAGAGACTCAAGCCCCCCGTCTCTTGCATCAGCAGGGGCTTGCTTCCCTGCCAGGCCTCCTGAGACCTCCCCCCCAAGGTGGACAGAACCCAGTTGAGAGACCCCAGCGTAGACTCAGCCTCCCATCCCTGGAGGTCAGTGTCAGGTTGGAGAGGGAACGCTGGTATCCCCAAGGCAGGATCTCATCCTGGCTCAGCCCCAGGCCCCAGCTCTGTCAAGCCAGGGGGGGCCTCCGAAGGGAGTCGGCGTGTTAGGTGCATGGAGGAGGGGACAATGGAGGTCTAGAAGCCAGGCCCAGCCCTGCTAACTTGCTGTGGAGCTCCGGTTGCCTGAGCCCCAGTTTCCTCTTCTGTAAAACGAATGGAGCGGATTCAGTGGTCCCTAAGTCCCCTTTCTACTCTCTGCGGTTAGTTTCTGGAGGGTGAGGTGGCCCCAACGGACCCAACCAATCTTAAAGTCAGATCTTGCCTGAGAAAAAGAGTCAAGGATGAGCTCGGGTCCCCCAGCTTCTCTCAAAGTCTCTTTGTTCTGATCACCCCAACCCAGCACACTCTGTCCCCCTCACACTTAACCTACCCCAACGACCATTGGTCTTGGAAGGCAGCATTAGTTGTTAAAAAGCATTGGCTTTGCACTCAGATGGACTTGGGTTTGAATCCAGGCTCTGTTGTCTGCTAGCTGTGTGTCCCGAGGCAAGTTGCCTAACCTCTCTGTGCTTTAGTTTCCTCCCCTGTAGATGAAACTGAAGGAGCACCCATGTCCTAAGAGTTCCTATGATGGTTAGATGAAATAATGCTTGTAGGGCAGGACCCAACATGTGACAAGGACCCAGTACACAGCAGGTACTTAATAAACAGGGGGATGATTATCACCACATAGGAAGACTCATTTATACATGATAAGCTGCAGCTCTTACCTTCTCAGTCTTCTCCCCTACTGCAATGCCTCTTAGCTTCATCACGTTACACCCCTCCTCAAACTTCACCTCTGCCAGGAAGCCTCCTGTGGTTAATCCCACTAATTTCCATTTGTTGCACCCCTGGCTGCACCCACCAACCCAGACTTGAACTTGCGAGAACATTGCTCTAGAGAGAGAATCCTTGGGCTGTCCCCTCAGCAACACCACAAGTTCATTCAAGACATTCCCTCCCTCCTCTTTCCTGCCACCCTGAGTCCTCCATTTCCACCTCCCCAGGAAGGGAGCAGCAGGAATGTTGGCTGAGCCAATGGCTTTTCCCATGGTCCCTGCCACCTCCTTGCTTGGCGTTGGAAACGTGAGTTTTGCTGTGGGCTGACCCAGGATGGTGAGCGATAAAGCCCCTGTGTGTCCCCCTCCATGTCTCAGGCCGAGCCGTGGTCCGAGGTCCTAGCTCCCTGATGAAGAAGGCAGAGCCCCCCAAAGACCAGGCACTGGATGCCACGATGGAGGAGTCCTCCACCGGCCTGGCCCCCACCAACCTCTACCTAACCACTTTTGAGGCAGCACCTGCCACAGAAGAGTCCCTGATCCTGCCTGTCACATCCCTGTGGCCCCAGGTAAGGGGCCCCAGAACAGCCTCCGAGTATATGCAGGGAGACTGAGGCCAGGGGGTGGGAGGGAGTTGGTTGAGGCCATCGAACCAGGTCTCTTGATGCCCGTCCAGGTCGGGTGCACCCCAGCAGACACTGTCCAGGAGAATGTGGTCCTAGGGGCTCACTCCAGGGGCAGCAGGGAGGCGAGAACCCTCTCTGCACAGTGGCTCTCCATGGAAAAGAGCCGGGACCTCGGGAAAAATTTCATACAGACCCAACAGTCCAGAGAAGAAAAATTTTTAAGACCATGTCCCTGGGATGCCTGGGTGGCTCAGTTGGTAAAGCATCTGCCTTCATCTCAGGTCCTGATCCCAGGGTCCAGGGATCGAGCCCTGCATTGGGCTCCCTGCTCAGCGGGGATCCTGTTTCTACCACTCCCTCTGCCCCTGCCTCCTGCTCCTGTGCACGTGCTCTTTCTGTCTCATATGAATAAATGAAAAATCAACAAGATGTGCATCCTTCTTCGACCCCTTTTGAGGCTTTGAATATTTTCCAAATAAAATTATTGAAGATCAATAAAGTATATGTATAGAAGAAGTCAGACTTTTTAAGCAGTAGGTCATCCTCACTCCCTTTTGGGTCTTATACCCCTTCTTGAGATTCTTTTTTTTTTTTTTTTAAGTCATCTCTACACCCAATGTGGGGCTCGAACTTACAACCCCGAGATCAAGAGTCACATGCTCCACTGACTGAGCCAGCCAGGTGCCCCACATCCTGGCCCCACCTGTGTCTGATAAAAGCTGGGGACCATCTCCAAGGAATACATGACGTCTCATGCTGTCCAAGGCTCCCCGGAAGCCGCTTGGTTGAGAACCCTGCCCTAGAAGATGCCTTTATTGCCTATGTCCTACCATGTGCTGATCCAGCCCCGAGACCTCTGGCCAGGGCTGTGAGTCCAGCTGAGCTATGGTCTCAGGGTGCCACAGAAAGCTAGTAAGCTTGCAGGGGAGAGAAGGGACAGCAGGGAAGTGAGTGGCTTGGCTTCATCCAACTCCCCCGGCTCCTGAGGAGTCCCTCCTTTGCCCTCTGGTTCTGGATCCCACATTTCCACTCCCACCGGTTGGGAGCTCCAACCTCATTCCTCTTCGTGCCCCTTCTGCAGGCTCAGCCCAGGCCTGATGGGGAGGTGATGCCCACGCTGGACATGGCCTTGTTCGACTGGACCGATTATGAAGACTTAAAACCCGAAGTCTGGCCCTCGGCTAAGAAGAAAGGTATGTCTACCTCCCCTGCCACCCCCATGCCTGGGCTCCCTTCCCTCCCCACCCTCTGTTGTGACGGGGCGGCGTTGGGGGAGACCAATGAGCCCAGCCTGACCTACAGATGTCCAGAGTGGAAAGGCATGGAGTCTAACCCGGGATTGACACCCAGATGCCAATGCCATTCTCAAGTGCTGATCGAGGGCCAAATGTTTTCCTCTACCAACTCATTTTACCCTGAAAAACAATCTCTTGGGTCTATCCTGCTGTTGATCCCATTTTAGAGAGGAGAAGACTAAGGCAGAGAGAGAGGTAGAGAGTCTCATCCACAGCACACAGCGTGAGTGGCCGTATGATCCCCGGTGCTCAGTCCCTCTGCTCTGCTGGGCGTCAGCTTCTGATGACACATCTTCTTGTCCCCAGAGAAACACCGGGGTAAATTCTCCAGCGACGGTAATGAGACATCACCTGCTGAAGGGGAGCCATGCGACCATCACCAAGATTGCCTGCCAGGTACCCAAGCAGCACCCAGGATCAGGGCAGGAGGCTGGTGCAGGGGGGTGGGGGGAAGAGCCCGTACAGGGGTGAGAGCCTTTTGGGGAGGACAAATGATAACAATCAGGGATACCCCTCTACTGAGACTTGCTGTTATACTGTAGTAAATCTTCATAGCAACCCAGAGAAAGGGCCCCTCTCATCCCCAGGGTTCAGGCAAGGAAATCGAGCCTCAGAGAGCCTAAATGTCTTGGCTGAGGTCATACAGCAAGGAGCTAACTCAAACCTGGGTCTGTGTGGTTCTCCACCCCAGCCCTATGCTGTCTCAAGTCAGGATCAGCCCTCACTCAACTTCTTCCTCTTAACACCTGTTTGGGCTTAATTCTGTCCTTGTCCCCTTATGACACCTCGGGGCCTCGTAGGGGGCTGGGGGACGGGGGGGGGGAATGCCATCATCTCATCCTCCCTGTAGAGCAGCTGTGCCCATCATATAGTTTATAAACAAGGGGCCTGACGTTGGGACTAATGTCTCAAACTGCTGGCCCTTGTTGGGTCAGTTTAGACCCCCGGGAAGTGGATACCAAGGCAGGGTTCCAAGGGCAGGAGGTTTATTCTGGGGGAAGTGGGAAGGCCTGTGAATGGCAAAAGTGGGGAGGAAGCAGGAATGGACCCAGAAACCTGGGATGCAATCTCAGCCAGCCCGATTGGGGAGCTCCGGAGCAGGATGGCCTGCTGATGGAGGTCACACTGGGCAGGACTGGCCAGGCCCTGGTCCCCATACTAGGGGTGTTGGACTGCTGGGGAACCAGGGTGCCATCAGCCCAGCCCTAAAGGTGCTCACTGCTGTCCTCACCTCCGGACAGCATAGGGCTGCGGCAGAGGGGGCGGACAGGGGAGACCCAAGCGGCCACAGTGCCATGCTTGTTAGTCCAGCGGCTGGAATATTTCACAGAACAGCAACCAAAGAAACAATTTCACACTGTTTAAGGCAGACCACCAGCTCCTGGACAGGTTGCTTCCTCTCCAAACCATCGTTTTCACCCTGAGCAGAAAGAAAAGTCTTGAATTTGAGCCAACTGGACAGTCACCCTAGAAGCTGGCCGGGTCTGTGGGGGGGGAAACCCGGTCCTCAGGCCTCCCTGGGGCATCCTTTGGGCCTTCCTGCTGCTCCCCTGGGCCTTCAGTTTCCCCATCTGTCAAAGAAGACGCTGGCGGCAATGATCCCTGAGGCCCCTCCCAGCTCCAAGCTGATTACTCACACACACACACACACACACACACACACACACACACACTGCTCTGCCCCCTCTCCCTGGGAGGCCAGCCTACACTGCCTTCGCTCCGCCATGATCTATCAATTGCCCATCTGGGGCAGCTGGGGTCTCTGCCACCGGCCCCCCCGGGCGGGGGGCCCTGGCCATGATATCCATCGGTGGTCCCAGCAGGGAGCCTTGGGCACCAGATGGCCCACCCTGCCAGGGCACAGCCCCGACACAGAGATGATGGATCTCCTGTCTGGCGGGACTGTGTGCACGTTGGTGGGAGGGTCCGGGCAGCCGGCTGAGCCTGACCGTAGGCTTGCTGTGTGGGCAGGCACCTGCTGTGAGCTGCGAGAGCATCTCTGCACGCCCCACAACCGTGGCCTTAACAACAAATGCTTTGATGACTGCATGTGCATGGAAGGTAAGCCCGCCCTCTCCGGGGAGGGGGTCCCCTGTGCTCCAGAGCCGGTAAACCCCTGCTCCTCCAAGCTGGATCTGCACGGAAAGGAGGCCAAGACTTCCCAGTGGAGGGTGGGCCCAGGGGCCGACGGCAGAGGAGAGGGTGGCAGGATCCCTCGGGAGCAGAAGACGCGAGCAAGAACAGCTTTGCTCGGTGCCTTCCAATCTGTGAACTCATTTAGTCTCGATTCCTGGCATCGTTTCTCAGATTTGCTTTTCTCACCTCTTGAAATACAAGCTGGCACACTCTCCTAGGATCTGGGGGTAGGAGGAGGGAGGAGAGGAGCACATCTCTTTAAATAAGATCAAATCTGAGAAGGCTGGTACCCCAGACTTCTACCCCAGGCTAGTCATTCCAAGTGTGAGAATGAGGGGTGGGACTATCCCAGCCCAGTCACGGCTGGGGCGGGGCGGGGGGGGGGGGCGGCGGATGCACTTGGCCGTCTCCATCCTTAACTATTCTGACCTCCCACCTGCAGCGGGCATGTCCTCCTGCCCAGGTGTGCCCAGCGTGCCAGGCTCTGTGCCTGGCAGTTCACTCCCCTTATCTCCAATAATCGTCACAACCATCCTGGGAAAGGAGTTCTTACCACCCCCATTTCACACCTGGATGCACTGAGGCACAGAGAGGTTAAGCGACTTGCCCATACTCACACAGCTAGCAAAGTTGGGGAATACTTTTAATTTTATATTCCAAAAAATTTCAGATATTCATGTTTGAAATAAGGAGCCCCCATTTCCCATCACTCAGTTTCAATACTTACCAGCTCACTGCCAGTCTGGGCTGCCTCTCCCCCACTCAGTTCTCCGTTCCAGTATGATTTTGAAGCAACTCTGGGGAGTTTGCCAATCCTTCATCTGTGAATATTTCAGTATATATCTCTACAAGATAAGTACTCTCTGAAAAATAAAATACCGGTCGCCTGGATGACTCAGTCGGCTCAGTGTCCGACTCCTGATTTCAGCTCAGGTCATGCTCTCAGGGTCATGGGATCGAACCCTGTGTTGGACTCCGTGCTGAGTGTGGAGTCTGCTTGGGATTCTCTCTCTCTCCTCCCCCTTCCCTGCCCCTCCCCGCTGCTCGCACACACCGTCTCTCTCTCTCAAGGAAAACAAGCCAACACACACAAACAGTAATTACTCAATATCATTCAGTAGCTAATTGGTTTCTCACACGCCCTGAGTTGGAGAATTTGGTCCTGGTCCTTCTATTAGCCATCCTAAGATACGAGCCCTGTTTTTGCTCCCAAGAGCCTCAAAAATTATCTGCTGTGAAAGCAGTAAAGCTATTTGGGCCTAGTCATTCAAGAAATATTTACTGAGTGGTCACGATGTGTCTGGTACCCTTCTGGAAACTGGAGATTCAGCGGCGAAGGCAACAGGCAAACACCCCCCACCCTGGATTCCACTCTAGCGAGATGTTCAGATAGTAAGCAAATCAGGAGATGAGATGTCTTTTTTTTTTATTATTATTTTTATTTATTTATTTGACAGAGATCACAAGTAGGCAGAGAGGCAGGTAGAGAGAGAGGAAGAGAAGCAGGCTCCCTGCTGAGCAGAGAACCCGATGCGGGGCTCAATCCCTGCACCCTGAGATCATGACCTGAGCCCAAGGCAGAGGCTTTAACCCACTGAGCCACCCAGGCGCCCCGGAGATGAGATGTCTTTAGAAAGAAATAAGGGCTGTAACGAAAATTAGGGCAGTCTGATGAGAAATCAGGGCTGTTTTAGAAAGATTGGACAGGAGGGGACAGCAGAACCAGCCAGCTGAGGATAGGGCTGCGGAGAAGGAGGGAGAGCCCCAGGCAAGAAGCAGGGCAGAGGCCCAGAGCTCGGGTAAGAATAGAGCTGGAATGTTTAAGTGGGCCTGGCACACAGTGGCCAGCAAAGAAGGTGGCCTCGGGGCCGGTGGGGAGAAGCTGGCAGGGAGGATCACACTGGGCTCTGTCAGCTTCGTTTGATTTATAATTGGAAGTCACAGGCAGGTTTTAAACTGGAGAGTGACATGGTCCAGCTGCAGGACTCTGGGGGGCAGGAGTGGAGACGGAGAGGTGAGGGGATGGAAGTGGGCAGGGTCGAGAGGGGCAGGAGATGCTAGAAAACTACCTTCTGTTGCCTGTGTGCAGGGTTGGGGCCCCATTTCACAGAGTAGGAGACTGAGGTGTGGAGTGGGCCAGAGGGCACTCTAGTCCACAGGGTCCAGAACAGTGCTGAGGCCCAATCACAGTCCTTGGCCTCCCGGTTCAACCCTGGTGCCCAAGCGAGGCGGGTGTGGCCCTACTGAGTCCAGGAATCCTTCCTCTTTCCTCCCCTGGACCTTGGGTGGGAGGGGTGCAGCTTTCCAGGCACCCAAAAGATATATCTGCGCCCAAAGCCACATCTGTTCATTTCCTCTAATCCCTCTGGCCGTCCCTGATCCTGGAGGAAACTCTTGCCTCCTCCCTGGAGACTCAGGCTCCAAAGAAGAAGAAGGAGGAGGAGGAGGAGGAGGAGGAGGAGGAGGAGGAGGAGGAGGAGAAGGGGAAGAAGGGGAAGAAGAAGGGAAATGACAACTCAGGCAGCTCCTTAAAGCTGGTCCGTGAGGACGTTGGTCACCAAGATGCCACACTGGAGGGATCTAGGTGATGCCAGGAACCCTCAGGAAGAGCAAAAGTCCAGAGGACTCCTGAGGGCCCAGGGCTGAAGTCTGGCAGTCAAGGCTAGCCTGGGTTGTAGAGGGTTCTGGAAGGGCTTCTGCAGGAACCAGGCACTCCTGCTCATGAATCCCCTGCTCCTTTCCAAGTGTCACTTATGTGACCTCAGGACTGGATGCCCAGTGACCCAGTTGTAAATTCTAGACCCCTAAGCACAAACTTCACAGCATTTCCTTTATTCTCTTGGTAGTGACATAAGTGAATCTTCAAGCAGCAATGTCCCATCTTCCTGGGACCCTGGGACCAACTCCTAACCCGAACTGTAGGGATTGCTCAGGCACACTCACATCTCTTGCCCCCACCACCAAGAGGAGGTGGCCTTCTGAGGCCTCAAATGAAAAATACATCCACCCATGTATCTCAGGGGATGCCTGTGGTCATGAAAGAGAGAGCTTCAGCTCTGAAACCCACCCACTGGTAGGCCACAAGGGCCACACTGACTTTGGTTTGAGTGGTCAGGGAGGGTCTCTGAGACCTGAAGGCCACAAAGGAGCCAGCGATGCAAAGAGCTTGGGGAAGAGAGTTTGGCTGAGAGAAAAGCAAGTGCAAAGGCCCTGAGGCAGAACATGGCTGGGTATTGAGGAAAAGCAAGAAGACTGAGTGTGGCTGGAGCTCATGAAGAGGAGAGTGGGAAGTGAAGAGGGCAGACAGGAGGCAGGTCCAGGTCCCAGGGGGTCTTGTAAGCCAGAGTAGGAAGTTTGGATTTCCTTTTGAGGACAAGGGGGAGCCACAGGTTTTATAGGGGAGAGCAGAATCTGCATTCCTTCACAAATTTTTTGGGGGAGATCCTTTTTTTTCCCCCTAAGCAGTGTCGGGTTTACAGAAATGTGGCACAGAAAACACTGTTCTCCTATGCCCTCTTCCCCTGCACGGTTCCTCTGCTATCACTTGCACTATTTGGTTCGGTTTTTACAATGGAGGAACCAACGTTGACGAAGTCCATAATCTGCATTCGCATTCAGTCTCTGCCCTGTGCATTCCGCGGGTTTTGATAAATGCATGGTAACAGGTATCCACCATTACAGTATCACACAGAGTAGTCTGGGGGCCCTGAACAGCCCCTGTGCTCCGTCTGTCCATCCTTCCCTTCTCCCCCAACGATCGCCTTTTTGAAGCCCATTCAGGCTGCCCTGGGTGGGTTGCAGGGCAGCGTAGGGTGGTGGTGAGAGGGTGCAGGGAGTCCCAGAGGGCTCAAGGAAGGAAGGAAGGGGAGGAGGGCCCCGGCGGTGGGCACTGCTGACCCCCTTGCCTCTCTTCGCTCAGGGTTGCGCTGCTACGCCAAGTTCCACAGGAACCGCAGGGTCACGCGGAGGAAGGGGCGCTGCGTGGAGCCCGAGACGGCCAACAGCGACCAGGGATCCTTCATCAACATCTAGCGGCTCTGCGGAGAGGCGCCTCCCCACCGGCCCCGCGGAGGTTCGGAGAAGCCGGGCGATTTGTTTAGAACTAGCAGTGGGAGATCAGGTGGGGCACCGGATGACCGAGGCAGCAGGCTCGAGCTCGGGACCCTCAGCCCCGGGAGGGGAGCCCCGGGCGCCCGGGCGCCGAACTGCCGCACACCTGCGCCCACCTCCCCGCCCGCGGAGGACCCGCACGGCCTGCGCCTCCCGGTGGCCCGGTGCTCCGCGGATGGCAATGTCGAGAGTGCCCTCTACTGCCCAACCTCCGCACTGCAACCGCTTCAAGTCCAAGAACGAAGAGACTTCTGAGCGCCTTGAAAGGGAAACTGCCAGAGAGAGACAGAGAATCCCAGGAGATGCGTGCGGAGCACCTGTATGTACCAGGCGCTGTGCTAAATGCGTGCCATGCGTTATCTCATTTAGTTACCACAGTGACCTTTCAAAGGATGCATTACTACCCTTTTACCAGTGAGGAAACGGAGGCAGAGTTGGTTAGGACTTGTCCAGGGTCCCAGATGGATGCCCCTCAAAACTTAACCTGTGTAAGAACCCCTGGGATCTGGCTAGAATGCAGAGTCTGGTGGGGTCGCTTCTGCATTTCTAACAAGCTCTCGGGGGCATGCTGCCACTGGGGAAGCCCCCTGAGAGCACCCAGGTCTTAGGGAGTAAATGCCAGAGCTGGGATCTGCACCTGGGCCAAGCCTGTCGGGTTCCTGGCCCACATCCTTGCCTCTCCACAACCACAGACTTATTCCAGGTTCTCCATGGCCTTCAGTGAGAGAGACACGTTCCCTGGGAGTTCCTTTCACGTGCTGAGATCTGCAGTCACGGGATGTTCCCTTCCCTCCCTGGACAAAGTTGTATCATCTTTACAAACAAAGCATGCATTAAGCCCCTGCTTGCTGGGAAGGAATGATTTGGGAAGATTGGCCGCTGCCCTCTGGGAGCTGGTAATATGAGACGCTATGTGTTTGGAAGAAGCGACAGTGCTGTTCCTTCTACTTCGGTGGCTGTGCTCACGCAGTCCCAGGACACGCACTTTAACATCACCCCGATCGCTTCCTTAGTTTCTGTAGTTCATGCCCTTCGAGAATCGAATGCTGATGTGGGCTCAAAAAAATACACGCGTTGTGCATGTGCGCCCACTTTGCATACTGCCTTAGTGGCTTCCAGGCCTCCCACAGACCGTCTCTAGACCGCCCCCCCATCCCACACTTCTGCAGCAGAGCCTCCTGACGCACTGGCACACCTCTGAGGTTCAGGTGTTGTCTGAAACTAACTGGCCCCCGCAAGCTAGACCCACCCACGATGCCCACCCAGAACATCTGCCCCAGCGGATTGGGCTCTAAGGGCCACTTCAGGAGCCGCTTAAACCCCCCCACCCACCACGCCTGGCACCTCACTCCTGGTCAGCCCTCTGGTCCAGGGCAAACCAGGTTGCAAACGACAAAAGCCTTCCCTGTCCAAATTCCTCTCTGGCCTGGACGCCTGCCGGGGGGACCACACCCGCGATGCCAGGGCTGTTTACTCTATTGGGAAAATCAGTCAGGGTCAGGGGTCTGGCACCAAGCAAAGCAGATGGATCAAAGAGAAACGAAATATCCTGGCTCACGTCTCCTTAGTCAAGTTCTATGGGCAAAGGAATCTTAGGGGTGAAGGTGGGGCAGGGAATGAAAGAGATCAAAGCCGGCTGTTTGGAAATCAAAATCCCCAGCAGTTTTGTCTAAGACTGCACCAGAAAACACCCATGCCGTGTTTTTCACTGGGGGTGGCTGATTTGAGATTGTGCTAGAACCCTAAGGGGGTAGGCTGCAGGCAAGAAACACAGCATTGCTTAAGTCTGGGGGGTAGCAGCTCAGATGGCCCTAGGGCCTCAGCCGTGGAAAGCACAGAAGGTCGGGACAAAGCTGAAAGGCTCCATGGAACAATCCCTGTCGAGCAGGGGAGTTCCACGTTTGGACCTTCAGGGCCTAGCTCTTTGCCCCAGCTACCTTCATTTTGAGGTCGCAAAGGTAGGTGGTCACAAAAGCTCCTAACCCCAGAGCTGGGGATCCCAAGGCCCCCCCTCAGTGTTTAACAAACCTCTCTGTTCCCAGAAGTTCTGCCTTAATTCTGTCTTAGATTTCCTTGGCTAGTACGGAAGTCAATACCCCCCAATCCAGGATTCAGCAAACTTTTACCGTAAGGGCAGGTAAATGTTTTTGGCTGTGTTCTCATAAAACTACTGATGGATGCTCAGGTGTGAATTTCGTATCACGTTCACATCTCGCAAACTACTATCCTTCCTTTGGTGTTTTAAAACCCATTTCTAAACGTAAAAACCTTTCTTAACTTGCAGATTACCCCAAAACGGGTGACGGTTTGGATTTGACCCATGGGCCATAGTTTGCAGATTCCTGCTCTAGTCCATTGGGCTCAAACCTGGCTGCATGTTAGAATAATTTAGGGAACTTTCAAAGGTACTGATGATGGCCCAGGTAGAGGTGATGGTTTCATTGTTCTGGGTTGTATCTGGACATCATGTGTGTTCAAGCCTCCCTCAGACGACTCCAATGTACAGCTGGGCATGAACTCTGCCCTCGTGCTCCGACCATGGGAATGCCACTGGTGACAAACCACCTGTTCCACCTCTCACCACCGTGGCGACCTTAGGCAAGTTACTTTTTTTTAATTTCTTCATCTGTAAAATGGGAATAATGACTCTCCTGTCATAGGGATGTTGTGAGAAGTAAACATAAAATCCTCATAGCATGTTTAGAACAGTGCCAGGCACAGAATAAGCTCCCAGTGTTGGCTGATTTGTTTTCTAGGATAATTTTAGTAGGTGGTCTGTTCTGTGACAATGATCCATCAAAGTCACGGTTTAGGCTCCATCCCCGGGAACCCTGGGGCCAGGAGATGCTCCTTTAGAAAAGAGAGAGTGGAGTTCTGGGGTCAGAGAAGTTTGGAAAACTGTTCTGGGCTCCTCCCGAGGCAGCAGGTTCCAATCCGGGGCGCGGAGGCAGAGCAGGAGGAGGGGTAAGTGGCCTTGGTGTGGGGTGGGATTCATGAGTTTCAAAAAAATACTACTGGAGGGAGAGCTGAGCAGGAGGCCAAGTGGAAACCAGTAGCTGCTGGGCGGGTGGCCTGTGCCCTCCTGCATTCCTTCTGCAGAGTCGCACACCATTCCCCAGAGTTTTGCTCGGTTCCCACGGGACTCCTTTTTGGGATTCGTCCGGCCATGTCAAGAGCGGCTCCCAAGCTTGCTGGGAACGGGCTGAGGGGCACAGGACATGAGAGCCGAGCCTCATGGGAAAGTGACAGCTTCGCTTGCCCCTTGAGGGGTGATGAAACCCCAAGTCAAATCCCAAAGCCACGACCCCTTCCACCGCTGAGATGGATCCTTACTCGAAGCCATATTCACCCCACCCAATAAAATCTACTCTCGGGAGGGTGGGCGCACAGCTCCCTGGGATGGGATCTGTCTTGCCGCAGGAGAGGCGGAACTGCAAGCAACGTGTTGATAAGACAACAGAACAGCAGGAAAGTGGGTGCTGGGAGGGACACTGAAGGAGCCAGGAAAGCAAACCATGTAGGACTTCGGGAGCCTGGCACCATCACCTCTGGGGGGACCTTTCCTCTCATGGGGGACAGGAGCGCATGTGTGCCTGTGTATGTGTGTGCATGTGTGTGTGCGTGTGTGTGTCAGGGAGGGGGCAGCAGGAATTGACTTGCAAAACCAAGGAATTTTATTGCAGGGAGCGTGTTTTCTGAATTCTAAGTCAGGACAGGTAGTCTGATCCAGCTTCTTCTGGGTGCACAAGGCTTCCTAGTCCCTCCTTCCGCAGAGTGTGCTCCTGGACCAGCAGCAGGGAGGGCATCACCGAGGAGCTCAGCAGGAGTGTCAGGTCCCAGGGCCCAACCCCGATCTGCTGAACCAGAATGGGGGGTGCAGCCACCGGGGTTTTACCGAGTCCCCAGGCCGTTCTTGGGCACAATCAAGTTTGAGAGACCCAGGTCTAGGATTCCTAAGAGGAAACAGAAAAGTTGGATGGTCAGGGACTTTACCTTCAGGTGTGAGTTGGCAAATCTGAGATCGAATTTGCCTGGTTCATAACCAGCAGTGATGGACTCCCGGGCTTAAGGCCCCGCCCCCTGGGCTGGGAGTGGCCTGTTTTCAGGGGAAATCAACTGGAGCCCCTGGACTGGCCCCACCGCAGTCATTGGGTTTTCTGACTCTTGGGAACTTCCTCTATAAAGTGTGGGGCAGCAGGGGGAGGGGGGTGCTATGCCCTTGTAGTCCTGTGACAGCGTGTTGCATGTGCTCTCTTAAGCTGTAAATAAAGAGCTGATGGTTAATTAGCTGCCTTCGTGTTTCCGTCTGCCTCTCCCGGAGACGATCTGTGCGTGCAGGCCAGGAGCACGCTTAGGGCATTTGGAGGGGACCCTAAGCCTAGTGTTTCCTCTGCCACATCTTGGAGCGTTTGCTCTGAGCTCGGCCGTAAACGAGACAGAGTCTCTATCCTCACCTGGCCCTCATCCTTCTCCTTCAACCAGAGCTCTTGGTGGGAATTTCGTACCTTGACCTCCTTCTCCATTTTAGGGTTGGGGCAGCTGAAGTCCCAAAGAGATGACAAGACTGGTCCCAGCAGGCTCGCCTCATTCGGGACCTGGGTGGCCACGTGCAGAGAAAAGCAGACGCCACCTTCAGCAGGACGGGGAAAAAAGTACCGCCAGCTGACACCGCTAGGGCCTGGGCAGGCTCAGATGCCGTCTTGGGAAAGGGCATGCTTTGGTGATGGGGTGGGTGGGGAGGCTGGCTTAGCACCAGGAAGTCCATCTCTTATCTCTGCTGACCAGGCCCTGCTAGGCCTGGTTGACTGTAATACAGAAAAAGGCTGTGTTATGGCTCTGAGTGGCTCCACGTTCTAAAGCCAAGCCAGGGCCCAGACTTTCCTGGGGGTCAGGGTGACTACAGACATGGGAGGCCCTTAAGGGCCTGTTGTCCCTGTGGGACTCTCCCTGCCCAGACACCACTGATGGACCAGCTTGGATGGTTGGGAATCCTGGGTGTCCCAAAACACAGGCTGGGGATTCCCAGCAACAGGATCCTCTGGGGGAGAAAACCCAAGTTTCTGAGCCCCCGGGCCTGG